CATTTGAAAACCATGTTAAAATATTAACGATTATTGATTTATATAAATTCAAGCTTAAGAGGTAGAAAGCTGAAAAGTCATAGCCCGGAAGCCGGAAAGAAGCTGAACATTTTAATATTTGAAGGATTTTAATAGCTGAAAGTGTGAAGGAGTTGAAAGGTGGCACGGAAGAAATAGAAGAATAATAATAATAATAATAATAATAAGTTGAATAAAGATTCGAAGAACAATACTTGGAATGCTTGAAGCATTCCAACTAACTAGAAAAGGCATTTCCTGCTGAAAATGCGTTGGAATGCAAAAAGCTGAAAGCTGCACTGAATATTTAAAAATAGCTGAAAATACAGAAAGTTGAAGGGAATTTGAATACATTTGCTGAATATTTAAAAATAGCTGAAAATACAGAAAGTTGAAGGGAATTTGAGTACATTTGCTGAATATTTAAAAATAGCTGAAAATACAGAAAGTTGAAGGGAATTTGAATACATTTGCTGAAATAAAAGATATTAGAAAAGCTGAAATTAATTTGAAATAGCTGAAAATACAGAAATGGGAGAAGCTGAAAGGAATTTCAATAGATTTGCTGAAAAAGCAGAAATGAAAACAGCTGAAATAAATGTGAAATATTGCAAAACAGAAGTTGCAGGAGCTTAAATGAATTTTAAAAAGTACAGAAATAACAAAAGCTGAGATGAATAAAAAGAGGTTTAAAATTGTTTGTAGTAATGTTAGTTGTAATTTGGGTATTAGTACTAGCAGTAGAAGTCGGTTTAGTATCAATAGCAGTAGAAACAGCTGGAATACTGATACTATTAGCCATAGTAGTATTTTTAATAACATTAGTAGTAGTTGTATTAATAGCAGTAGAAATACTAGTAGTATGGTAGTAGAAGTATCAGTTGTAGTTCTACTAGAAGTACTAGTAATATTCCTAGTGGTTATAGTAGTATTTGAAAGAGCAATGCGTATTTCAACGAAACCGCTTCATGGTTAAGGTACAGATAATCATTGAGGCTTTTAGTTTGTAATGATGGAATTGGGTGAGGGGGGGTTGGGAGACAGAATGTTTGTTATTCAAACTAAGAAGTTTTTAATTAATAGGCCTCATCACAAACATTACAGTAAAAATTCCCTCCATGGGGCTTTTATTTTGAAATTATTGGATTTGGTGGGGGGGGCAGATAGAGGGAGGGTGAGAGGGTGAGGAAGGGAGGGGTGGTGAGGAAGAGATAGCGAGAGGAGGAGAAATAGACAGACATACTGAGTGATTGAGAGTGAGAAGAGGTCAGGGGGGCCGGGGGCGTCTTCATCATTTGGTCTGTTGACAGAAATCATAGCTGCGTTATGTGACTCCACTAATCAGGTAATAAGAGCAGCTGTGAGTCACAGACAGAGATACTGCAGCGTGTGTGTGAGTATCCACGGCAACGGCGCACCTGTGCTCATTAACGCAGTGTTTTTCTGCCGCGAGAGGCTGTCAGGTGTGCCGTGAAAAAAAATCATTTTTTACATACTGTCACTTCATAGGTGAAAAAAAAAGCGCCAACTTGTGTGTTTGTGTGTCGTCGCGCTGTTGGTGGTATGAAGGCTCAATACTCGCCTCTGCCTGTGGGTGGCGGTACGCAGCGTAATTAATAGGCAGATTTGCTGAGGCGACAATTTAAAAAAGTGAGATTTAAGGCGTTTGCGTCTGCGTTGTTGCATCGACGCACTCGTTTCAATTCATGGTTCTGCGTGTGTTGCAGAGCGATTCACCTCCAGAACAACAGGCAGAGTGACGTGTTTTGTTGAAGACGACCTGGAGAGTCACGTATATTTATTTATTTGTTTATTTATTTATCATAGACTTTATTGCCCCGTGCATCGACACTGCTGCTTTTCATCAAGGACACATTTGTCCCGTATTTTCCTCCACAACTTTGTTCCTCTCGACCGGCAAACCGGCGTTTGCGGCGATCTCCCTCCGTGAATCCAACCCGCTTCTACAACCCGCACATGACGGCTTGTATAAGAGGTCATATTTGCGCATTTCTTCCGACAAAAGTTCTTAAATCTGATCCGTTATTCTTCGTTTTAATAACGGCGGTATCGGGCTATGAAAGCGGAAATGTGAGACTCCGTAAAGGACGTAGTTAGCAGACCAATCCCAGCCTGGTGCGCTGCGGGAGGCTTGCGTTGCTGACGTAAGCCTAGAAAAATGGGTCAACACACGCAAGGACGCAAGGAGGTGGGAAAAGCGACGCAAGGGACACGCAAGGGGGTCTTGCGTCTGCGTCGCTCTGAAAACGCAGAAGCATAAACTAGGCTTAAGAGATACCTGGGCATAAAGCCTGTGCCATCTTGGCATTAGGATGATGTTAAGTTTAATGAAACACAACAAATAGAACAATCGTTTCCCTGATTTCTTAGAGTATATTATGCTCATGCTGAAACTATGTTTGGGATTGATTTTCATATTATTTCCGGTTGTTGAGATTGACTTTGTGTGCCTTGACGCAAAAAAGGTTGAAAAACACTGCATTAACGAGCTGCTGAAAAGGACAGACAGGAGTTACACAGAATCCACACCTCAAACAAGTGTCCTCTAGCGCAAAACTATAAGACGTTTTTGCAAGACCCAAGACTCTACCAAACGCAAACGTGTGGTTTTTATGTCTGTCCGGTAATAAATACGGCTCCTGTCGCAGTTTACAAAACGTGTACCTCCTGGATTTTTGGAGAAATATGTCGGCAGATTTGTATTTGAGCCTATGGGGCAGCTTTCAGCATTCCAACGCATCAGCAGGAAAGGCATTTTCTAGTTCACATTGATCCCCTCTATGCTCATGTATATTTCCATAAGATATTAGTGTATAGGTTTTGAGAAAAGTAAAGATGAAATCAGTAATAATGACATCATATTCGTCTTTTCTCAATCTTTGAACTGTGTTTAAACCAGATCCAAAAAGGATAACACTCTGCTTCTACTTGATCCTAGTTCATGTTGACCTCCTCTTTGCTCATGTATATTTCCATGAAATATTAGTGTAGAAAAGTAAAGATGAAATCAGTAATAATGACATCATATTCGTCTTTCTGTTGTTTACAATTTGGTATAGGCACTTAATAATAGATCATTCTTGTTCTTGGTCACACATACTGTGAAGGTATTTAATATGAACAGGACTAAGGGTTAAAATGTTATATTGTAATGGTACATACACACAAACAGAAGGCCAAGACACGCATAAAGTTGTACTTTGACTGTCATATATACCCATTTTATCAATATCATACTTTATTTCATAACGTTCCCATGTTACAGGACAGTGACAGAGACTCGACTCACCCGACAGCAGTTCTTTGGAGGAAAATGTATTCACGTTTGTTTTGCCGCAGCAGCCAAATTGGACATGAGTGGGGCGGGTGAGAGAGGAGAGGTTACAAAGAGCAGATCTAGCACGTGGCCTGTAGTATCTGCAGGAAGCGATTCGAACAGGTACGGGTAAAGGGGTCAAACACATTATTAGCAGCAGCCTCCACGAAAGACTCCTTTGTCTTTGTCCTGCTCGTCTTGACTCCCATGAAAGGCTCCTCTGTCTTTGTCCTGCTCGTCTTGACATTGACTGTCCAAATCAGTATAGATTTCAAATATTGTGTTTTCAAGGTGTTCCTAATTTTTTGAGCAGTGTATGAAGATCCGGCCACATGGCTTCAGACAAGTGAGGGAGAGGCGGCGTTACTGAGAAAAATGCTGTGAATCAGAACATTTTGGGATTGTTTTGCGTTTTTTATGTCCCAAAGCACAAATAAACACAACCCCACCTCCTCACAAAGCTCCAGAAAGGTGCCCAATTTTTAATGGATGCAGCACAAAGCACATTTCATCCTGTTGTGGCCTTTCCGCTCTCTCTGATAAGGCATTAGAAGCAAAAAAAAAAAAACCTTCTCTCCGCCACTTTTACGCTTAACGGCACAAAAGCAATGAGGATGGACTGCACATCCTTCTTATTGGCTGGAGAACCAAATGTTCTTGTATGACACCCAGAACCACAGCAAAATAAGAAGACTGAAGAAAATACCGTGCAGGTACAAACCTCACCACACACTTCTGTTAGGTCACAAGTGATGATTGAGATGGATTTTTTTTTGGACCATCCTGTACATTAACTTGTATTTGTAAGGTTTATCGAAAAGATGTTTTACATGTATTACAGTGCTATAAGTTGCCTTTCTAGTTTTGAACATTATCATCAACAAAATGGTACAAAAGTACAGACTGGAAGAGACGCAAAGGTGAACAGTGACATGCAGGTTTACAGAACATGGGATGTAAAAGACACGGTTCAGAACCAAAGTTTCCATCAATCAAGTGTTCTATTGACCAATATAAATGATCATCCATGCTCCAACAAAATCAATGTTCCATCAAACTTTAAAACAGGCACATTTATCCACCACTGAAGACACACCCTGCATCCTCTTGCTGTTTGTTTCATGCAATTGCGTTCACGGTTCAGCGTGTAAAGCAACGGACGTGATGAACCACTGCAGAGTACACAAGGGAATGCAGGTCAGTGCTCCTGCAGGACGGCTCTCTGTTTATTGCTGCCAGATACTCAGTGTGGCCCATGTTCCTGCCAAACTTCCTGCTCTTGCCAACTGCCTTGTCTGGGCAGCGTGTGTCGTCAGTGTCAGCATCTCCATTTAAATTTCCCTGCCATTTTGCATACCGCCGCACAGTTAGAGGGATTTGTTTCCTCTCTAAAGTCCTCTGTGATCACTCATTAGAAGTCATCACTATGATCCTCCCCTCCTGGTGACTATTGTAAATGGACTGTACTTGTATAGCGCTTTTCTAGTCTTCCGACCACTCAAAGCGCTTTAACACTACATGACATCATTCACCCATTCACACCCATTCATACACTGATGACAGGAGAACCACACACAGTGACACCTGCCATCAGTAACTAACATTCATACACTGTAGTCGTAGCTACAGGAGCAATGTTGGGTTAAGTGTCTCGCCCAAGGACACATCGACATGCGGGTTAGCAGAGCCTGGGATCGAACCGACAACCCTCTGATTGGAGGACAACCGTGCTCCCCACTCACCCACAGCCCTATTATAGACTGACACTTCTGTGGTGCTGCTTGATGAAGCTCTCCTGCTTTTCTTTAGTAACGCCTCCCTTCTCCTGCTGGGACTCGTCAGTCAACTGCTGTCTGGTGACTGGCTCTGGTTTAGGCTTCCTGCCACACTCCCACTCCTCACTCAGAACACTCCCAGCCTCGTTCATGTCTCCCAAGTGTTCCACCGAGTCACACTCCTCCAGGTCAGAGGCAATGGCCTGCAGGCTGATGAGAGACATGCAGTCTGAGCCGGCAGGCTCTGCCACCGGCTGCTCCCTCTGGCCCCAGCCACTCTCTCTGTGCCTCTCCACCCACAGCCTGGTTTTCTCTCCGTCCGCCCAGTTGTTCTCTACTCCGCTGACTCCTGCACAGCTGTTCCTGATGCAACTCCTGGTGTGATTCTCAACACTGGCTCGGACCTCAGCCTCAGCACCTACAGGGGAGCTCCGACCCCCGCAGACTGACGGACGCCGCCCGGTGGCCCTCATCCGCCCCCTCTGTGTGTGGATCTGCTCGCTGATCAGCTCCAGGTTCCGCAGGGCCACAGAGTAACGTGTCTTTACCTTCGCCACTTGCTCCTCCAGCAGAAATACTCTAGCCTTATGATCCTGAAAAAAGTGAACCAACGGAGTCATTTATATTTTTAATATAAACTGAAGGGAATATGACTTACAAAAAACTGTAGTCAAACCACCAACGTCAGTCGAAGACAAACTTCTTATTTTTTACGTCTATCTATCGTCATGGTTAAACTAACCACTGGGCCGCGGACTGGTACAGGTCCGTAAGACATTTGGTACCGGGTCGCACTACAGAACAGACCGGATTCTTTCCTGATTACGTGCGCGCGACCTGCTTGACATATTTCCCAAGCGTCAAGCGTTTTTTTTCACCTTATACAATTGCCCACTACTCGCTGAGAGCGCGCAACTACACCTCCTCCCCACCCCCCTGGGCTGGTTATTTCGTCAGCTTTATCCGTTCCGTGAAATATTGTCTAACATGAAAACGGTCCTTGAGGCAAAAAAGGGTTGGGTACCCCTGCTGCATAGGGTCTAAAGTACATCCCGTCCTTTACCTTGCACAAATTCTGCTGATTTAACATGGCAGCTGAAACTTAAGGTAAAGTACATCAGTGAAAAAGCTGATGAATCATGTGGAGTATCTGCTGCTGGTACAAACCTCCAGAATGTGATTGAATTGAGCCTTGAGTTCAAAATACGGCTTGGATTTCAGGATGACCTTCTTTAGAGCTTTCTGGAGGGTCTGGACTCGAGCCTCAGCTTCCTGGCAGAGCTGTGTGACGCGCTGGTGCTCTTGCTCACTGTGGAAACGCTCCTCCTCTGCCTCGTTCACCTGAGCAGCACAGGAACAATGACTCTGAGGAACACGTAATCATCACAGGATCACAAAGGAGCTTTTGTGTTCCATCTTAGAAATTTATGATGTAACTCCTCAATCTGTCTAAGAGAATAATAATTGGTGACATGCACTGAAATGTTTCTACAGAAGGTCAGAGATGAGAAATGCAGGCATTATCTTGCTCAGGCATTATCTAAAACAAAAACGAGAGAAGACTAAACAAATATTTGTTGGAACAATGAAGGATTTTGAGAAACTGACGTGTCACTGAACGGAGAGCAGATGTGAAGGGTTGCTGTACGAGTGCGGGGGGGCAACAAGGACAAAAGGTAATTTCTCCTCTTTTGGAGTAACTCAAGCAAATTCAAGAACACAGTGTTAAATTAAATGAATCCTGAATGCAAATATTTATCTGGGATATAATTGAATTATGCATTTTACTTAAATAAAAGGGCATAAAGATTGTATATTCGGTTTGGCTTTTAATTTAGAAGAATGAATTCATAACCCGGATGACAGGGTGTGTGACTGAGGGTGAGTGTCCATATGAAATATTAGTGATACTAGATGTGGCAAGAAAAGGGTGTGGAAGAATACAACTGAGAATACTGGGGAAATGTTCATATGACATTTGGGAGGTTACAGTAAACGATGGTGCAAGACTTCAACTGACACTATGCTTGACTTAGATTCAGACACAGATCCAGAGAGTAAGTACTTCAACAATGGGAGAAATTGTGACTACTACACGGAAAATCAGTTAAACGAAAAGTTTGGGTCAGAACACAATATAAAGATAATACACTTCAATAGTAGAAGCCTTTACGCTAATTTTTACAAGATTAAAGACTACCTAGACCAGTTCACCTCACCGTTCAGTGTAATCGCAATCTCGGAGACCTGGATTAGTCTGGAGAAAGGGGTGGAATTTGAGTTGGATGGTTATAATCTGAATTATGTAAACAGAGGCAATAAAAGGGGAGGGGGAGTTGCACTTCATGTTGATAGAAGACTTAAGTACAAGATTGTTGAAAGTATGACGGCTGCAATTGATGATATATGTGAATGTATTACTGTTGAAATAGATATGGGGAAAAGGGAAGAACATCATTGTCAGCTGTGCATACCGGGCTCCCAACAATAGCATAGAGAAGTTCAAGGAGGTGATGGAGAGTATGGCTACAAACACCGAGCAAAAGGTAACTTTTCTCTGTGGCGATTACGACATCGATCTTCTGAATCCTAACAAACTAACACCGATAGAGAAATTCATGGATGCAAT